TTTTGAGATTGCCAGCGCAGTCCCACGGAGTTACAAGTCGATTTTGAGACTGCCAGCGCAGTCCCACTGAGTTACAAGTCGATTTTGAGACTGCCTGCGCAGCCCCATTGAGTAACAAGCAGATTTTGAGACTGCCTGCGCAGCCCCATTGAGTAACAAGCAGATTTTGAGACTGATAGCGCAGTCATGTCGAGTTTCAAGCCAATTCTGAGACTGCAAGCGCAGTCATACCGAGTTCCAAACCGATTTTGAGTGCTGGCGCAGTCGCACCAGCCATACCAAATATCAAGCCGATTCAGACTTTAGGCAGATTGCACAGTCACATTGAGCATTTCGCTGTGCGTTGTTCGCACCATGCTTGAGGGCCATATCTGAGGGCCATATATGAACAAGTGCGCCGTTCGCACCATGCCGTGCGTTGTTCGCACCATGCCGTGCGCTGTTCGCACCATGCTTGAGGGCCATATCTGAGGGCCATATCTGAACAAGTGCACCGTTCGCACCATGCAGTGCACTGTTCGCACCATGCTTGAGGGCCATATCTGAGGGCCATATCTGAACAAGTGCGCCGTTCGCACCATGCTGTGCGCTGTTCGCACCGTGCTTGAGGGTCGTATCTGAGGGCCATATCTGAACAGTGCGTCGTTCGCGCCATACGTGAGAGCCATTTTCGAATAGAGCTATTCGCAGGTGCCATTGCTGAACAGTGCTATTCGCAAAGAGCCATTTCTGAATAGTGCATTTCGCAAGATCTATTTTCTGAACAGTGCCATTTCGCTGCAATTCGCAAGTGCTATTTCTGAACAGTGCCATTTCGCAAGTGCTATTTCTGAACAGTGTCATTTTCGCAAGGGCCGTTTCAGAGTAATGTGCTATTTGTCAGGGCCATTACTGAGCATTGTGCTATTTGTCAGGGCCATTACTGAGCATTGTGCTATTTGTCAGGGCCATTACTGAGCATTGTGCTATTGTCAGGACCATATCTGAGCATTGTGCCACTTGCATCTGTGCGCTGTTGCGCACCGAGATTAAGAATCATTTTGCTATTCACATCTGTGCGCTGTTGCGCACTATGACTGAGAATCATTTTTGCTATTCGCAACTGTGCGCTGTCGCGCACCATGACTGAGGGCCATTTTTCAGTTGTCCGTAGCTGTGCGCTGTTGCGAGTGATGACCATACGTGACCAACCCCGAACCAGGGTACCAGTGTCTGTTTCAACTGAGTACTTAGTCTGCATTTGATGACAATAGTGGTCAGGCCCTAAGAGAAGGCCAAGTCTTGCACGCAGTAATCACTCCATCCTATTACAAGCAGTAGTATATTGGCCCAGGCAAAGATTGAATTTAGATAATTATTTTTCAGTACGCGTCCGAGCTCGCCCAGATCTGACAATTATTTTCAGTGCGCGTCGTGCGCGCGCCCAGATCAGATAATTATTTTCAGTGCGCGCCCGCGCGCGCCCAGATCAGATAATTATTTTCAGTGCGCATTCGCGCGCCCCCAGATCAGATAATTATTTTCAGTGCGCGCTCGCGCGCGCCAGATCAGATAATTATTCTTCAATGCGCGCCCGCGCGCTCCTAGATCAGATATTTATTTTCAGTGCGCGCCTGCGCGCGCCCAGACCAGAGAGTGCGCGCCCATGCGCGCCCAAGCTTGATATTGCTATTAAAGTGCGCGCCCATGTGCGCCCAAGCTTGAGAGTGCGCGCCCATGCGCGCCCAAGCTTGATATTGCTGTTAGAGTGCGCGCCCATGCGCGCCCAAGCTTGAGAGTGCGCGCCCATGCGCGCCCA